CTACTTAAAGGAGTGAAGTATTTATTTAGAGAATCTCAACATAAAGAAGGAAGAAATACTAGTCAATTACTACTTGTTGTTATTAGACTAATCACTTGGCATTTCTTCTAAAGTTTAACCAAAACCACCAACGAATATCCGCCATGGTGACCCCTTAATGTCAAAAGTCTTCCAAGTACATGGTAAGGACAATTTGTACTATTATTCATTGTAGTCATCATCTAACAACCTCTTTTTCCACGCAAGCAGAATTATTTAAAGCTTAGTCCTACAATTATGTATAATTTATACATATAATAACAAAGGAAGAAAATTAATAGGAGATGATGAGTAGTATAAAAGAATAGCTCATATTAGTATATGCTTGGATGCTTATGCTGGAGTGCTGGACCCGGCCCTCTTCCACAAAACATGGCGTTCATCAAGCCAAGAGAGCTTGGTGGGAAGATTTTGAGGAACAAGGAATGTCTACCATCACCACCAAGCTATGTTAGATTATCTAGAACCGACAACGACAACGAAGATCATCAAAGAGACGACGATAGCAATGAAGGAGGAACCCCCAAAGGACATGTCCCAGTTATGGTCGGCATGGAGGAGAAGGAAGTCAAGAGATTTGTGGTTCCGACTCGGTTTATGAAGGATCCTTCCATTGTTGCGTTGCTTCAGTTATCGGCCGATGTGTTTGGTTATGATCATCAAGGGGTGTTGCGGATTCCTTGCCACCCTGAATATTTTCAAAAAATTATAGGTAAGCTATATAAGAAAAGATAGATATCTTGTCTTATACTATGGTTTGATGTATTAATCTTATTGGGTGCTACTCCTATATGATTGCTATTAAGCTATATTTTGGTGAAATATGCTAGATTGATGTATGTAACTTGTTTGAATTGATTTTTCGGTTTTTATTTCTAGCTTTTTTGCTCTAGTGTTATACAATCAGATTACATAGTATAATACTGAGTTCTAGCTAGGTTGAAAATTTGAAATTATATACTACGTCGTACCAGCTCAACTTTTGGGTTTGAGAGGTTGATGATGTATTTCTTTTGTAATATTAACAAGCTTAATCTTTTTCTTTTACTGTATTAATACAAGTATCATTTTTTCATACACTTCTATCTATTAATGTACGCTTTCTAAACATACTTGATCTATAATTCTATATGTAGAATATTAATGAATTTCATATGTTTTTTTTTTACCAACCAAATTTCATATGTTATAAACAATTTACGGCTGCATACACAATTAACTACTCGACTCTTTACTGTAATACCACAAGCAAATTAAAATTTTTATAATCCATTGCTTGTATTCTTTTCTCTTTTTATTTATTTATTTATCTATTTATTTTAATTGTACTATAGTTATGAAGCTTTGTTGATATGAATGATATCATTCCGATAATCCAATTTTCAACCCGCTTAATTAGAGCAATATCTATATATTAGTACATTCGTTTCACATTTTGTGCAAAAAATGAATATTTTACATTTCACAAAAATACTCAATTGTTGCACATAATGTGAAACGAAGGTGGTATATTTTACGGAGTAAAGTTTTAAGTTTTCATATATATATTTAAACCTTCAAAAGATTTAATTGGCATGATTGCTTAACAGGGGAAGAAACTTAATTATGTGAACTTTCCACTTTTAGCAAAGAAATAAAATTAAGCATTTCCATATGAAATATGACCCTCTTGCAGTCTGCCCGCCCATATTATCTATCTATAGATTTACTAGCGCTGTTTTAATAAGGATCGGATGATTATCAGTTTATCACCAAAGAAACCTCCTACAGTATTTAGCTATTTCCCCAATCTTCTCTGACATATTGCAGACAAAAGAATGCAGCTAGATTAGCGCAATCATAGTTCCTTACTTGCTTTTGGTATATGTACTCTTGTATGTTCCTTTGAATTCGACCTACTTTTATAATGGTTACTACTAATATATAGCACGCAAATGATGTAAAGTCAATTGTCAAGCTGCTTAACAGCAATTTTTGACCAGCAGGACAGTGTGAATCCTCCAACTTTTCATTTGACTTATTATTGATGCTCATATGCTTATCAAGTTATCAATCATGCATTCGATCGTTTAATTTTGGCAACTACTCCGTTGTAGTAACATTGCATATAATACGTAGTACAAGAGTATTTGTAAAGTGTAATGCTAAGACCATGGATCGGATATGATATTAGGAATACAGTAATACACTACAAAGAGCAATCCCAAACTACTCACTGATCTACCTATACACATACTCCATATTGCCTCTTGAGTACATACTCACAATGCACAATACTCTCTACTCGTGACATGCTCAATTATTTACTTGTATCATTAGGCCTATGTGTAGGTTTCGCATACTTTTATATACTAATTACTTACTTTTTACGTGTTAAGAATTCAGCATAAATTTAATTGAGATCTCACTTAAACTTGATGTCCTATATATATCAAATAAGGAGAATCGCTTATTTGTTATAAATAAATTGAAGATATGAAACTCATTACATGACAGAAAAATCATTTGATTAACATGGTCAAGATACGATCACTGATTAGCATCAACGACCATTAAGCAACTACTATTCATTTTAATATACAGTATGATGCTCAACATTATTTTAAATGTATATATCCTCATAATCAGTCACATTCTCCAATACCATGGACGCGTTTAGCTTACATTGACCCTGTTATATTACATCCATACATAAAATTGGTTAAATATAGATAATTGAGGAATGCATTAGCATAACCTATCATCAATCACCGTTATATTGATAGCGATCGAAAGTCATCATATGCGACTAATTACCTATTTAAAAAATGATAAACCGACTATTTATGTATAAGTTCTTGTCACATAAAAAAAACTATGTATAAGTTGAAGTTATCCTTTTGATTTTTCTACCATTACCAAAAAGGTTGATCCGTAAAAAAATAAAAATTATCTTGCCGATACGAGGTATAAGTTGAAAATAAGGGTTTTGTTTTTTCTTCATATATATTTAAATATACAATTACAAGCTAACTACATTAATTTGAGAACTATACTTCATTGGTCTAACAATATGATTACAAGTTTATTTTGAATTGGTTGGTTGTTATTATTGTGGATTTAGTTTGCGTTTGGTTATCATTGATAATGTTTTCTAAGTATTGTAGAGAAATTCTCAACCGTGATCCCCATCTTCTACTACGCACCAATGATCACCTCCTTTTTTTTATTATACAAGATGATCCTAATTAAGAAATTTATCTCACATATAACATTAATGAGTGTTATTTATTTGAAAAAACTAACTATGGTTAACTTTGAAAAAAAAAACTAAAGGTGATCATTGGGCGGGCTGGGCCGGAGCTTAAAAATTATGCCCATTTTCCAGGCCGGGGGGCTAAAAATCAACTAAATATACATAAAAACGCATTCCCAAACCCATCCAAAAAAAAAAATAATAAACATGCCGGACCGGGCATACTTGATCAGCTCTAAAAAAAAACTATAAAAAAAAAAAAAAACCACCACCTCCACCCTCATCCCCGCCCAGAATCGAAACCTCACGACGAAGTGGCGAGAATTGAAGTTCAGAGGAAAGAGAGTTGTGAGGTTAAGGTCGGTTCGGGTGAGAATCGGGTTTGGCGGTGGTCGAGGTGGAGTTAGCGTAGTGTCACCGGCGGTCGGGGAGTCTGGGTAGTGTCGGCGGCGATCGATGGAACCTGGGGTAGTGTCGCCGGAAGGGATATGGTGGCTGGGCATGTGGTGGCTAGTTTGTTTTTGGTGGTTGGGGTTAATTTTTTTTTAATTTTTCTTTTTTTTTTTTAAATAGAAATCTACCCATAGTTAATATTTAATGAAATAAGGTTATGAGTGAGATGAATTTTTTAAGTTTTTAACTAAGGTTATTTTATATAATAAAAAAAAGGGAGGTGACCATTGGTGAGTAGCAAAAGTTAAAGGTCACTGTTGAGAATTTCCTATTATTGCATATGATGACAAATAGTGATGTATATACACCATCCAATCATCCATACTAAGTTACTAACCTATCTTACTGTTAATATGTTATTGTACATGCACTACAGTCATGCACAAGTGCACAACATTATATTGTAGAAGAGAAAAAAAATCTTTAAATTGTTATCAAGTGATTTGACGTGCATATATAATAGGTTTTGCAACTAATTGTCTAGTTAAAAACTAATGGATGAAATATTATATAAAACTAGCTATTTGGGGAGAATAATGTTCCGTACAATTTTGTTAATAATAGCATGCTACAGTTAAAGAGAATGACGAGGAATATAGAAAAAACGGGGAAAAGAGTGAAGGTGGAAGAAAATGAGAAATCAATGTTGAGGGTAAAGGAGAGAAAATATATATAAATTAATAGCTAATTCTAAAATGCATGGTGGAGAAAATTAGAGAAACTTAAGCCTTGAAATAAACTACATGTAAGGGAGAAAGTGTCAATTACTTTGCCATTAGCATAAATATAGGGTATGATAACTGAATAATGTTAAAGACATACTCCTCAAGATATCAAATATATATTACTCTTCTCCGATACTCTCAAACAACAAGTAGAAATAAGGAAACAAAAAAAAAACACCCAAAAAAAAAAAAGGAAAGAAAATGAAAATGTTATTTATTATCCCGAGCTGCTTAAGCATACTAGGGAAGAATAATGTACTAGTATTAGGGGAAGGCGAGGAAGGGGGCGGAGGCGCGGGTGGGCAAAAGGCGTTTGGGTTCCAATTACCTGAATTTGGGGGAGAGCAGCAAAAATGTTTTACATCCTTCGAAAGCGAGGGTAAACAAAGTTGCCTACAAGACTTGGGTAACTCATTCCAAAGCCATCAGATAACCTTGTCTCAACCTTGCTGTTCTTTCCTTGCTCAAATTGATGATGCTTGCAAGTCTGTCGTACACTTTGAAAATCCCTTTTTTGAATTCCTTGTCAAGCAACATTGCTCCGAATACTATGGCGAAGCCACAGGTGCAGGTGCAGCTGCATCCGATGCCGGTACATCAACTGATGGTGCATCCACACCCACAGGTACAGATACAAGTACACCTACAGAAACAAGTGATGCACCTACTGCCTCTGAATATAGCGATCAAACAGGAGGTAATGCCACTCCAGCAGATCAGATGGCCCAACCTTAGTTAATTAGAGGTTAAACTATTTATATCATGCAACAATAATCTTCGATCCTCGTTTATCATAACGTAGCCTAATTTTGATAATAGTCTTTAGATTATGGTAGCATTACTAGCATATAGTTTCAAGTTACGTGGCCAACGTAACTTAGCAAGTAGTGAGCTCAATATATTCTTCATTTCCACGGTTTGTATGTGGATGTATTCTCGAGTTGTAATAAAGTAGACCAAACATTGCAAATGAAACTTAATAATGTGGAATAATCTAAATTCTTTATCCTAATTTTTGTCTACTTGTATAACCCATCAACCAAGTTACATACATAATTTCGCTCCTTTTCGAGCCAATATGGGGTAGAATTTGAGATGCTGCAACAGCAGCATGTATAAATTCTATTGAGAAAACTGTCATGATGTTCTTTAAAAAAAAAACTGTCAATGTAATTTAAAATCAGTGTAGATACTACAAACTTTTTCTTAGGAAGGCTGAATATGGCATTCAATTAGACAATTATAGCCATAAAAATTGGCACTATATGACATCTTTAGGTACTATCAGGACTGTAACAAAATACATGACAAAAATGAGCAATTTGATCTACTTCCAAATTTTAATCCTCTGTTTTTATCTGAAATGTTGAACTTAATTAGACTTGAGAGATAAAAGGCAAATAGGAGCAGTCTAGCACTACATACATCCAAACATCAATAAGTTTTGTAACCTATCCGAACATAAACTCTAGCACCAAAAAATAATAGGCGTGCTAGATGTAACAAGGAAACAAATAATCTCAATCCACAAAAATTACCTTCTCTTCTTCCAAATAGTGTCCAGCTGATAACTACCAACGATTACAATCCTTCCTAGAACCAGGAAGTTCTGAAGAATAACGGTTGTATGTTTGAGGCCCAGATTGGCCCCTTCCTCTACCCATGAACTGATGAGGGGTATTTGCATAACAAGGCCTAAACTGCATTGATGATCCCTCACCACCTTGGGAAGAGAAACTAGGCCTTGTCTGTGATACTGGTCTCCAAGAGGCATTTTCATTACTTGAACGCCAGAAGCTATTGTGTGTGCTGGTATTACATGTTCCATCGTATGTTGATCTATTTCTGTGACTATTCTGTATTCTCAAATTTTCAAAGCTCCTGTTGACATTTCGAGGGAATGTTGATGTAGAATGTATGTTGTCAGATCGACGCACATACTTCAGATTGCCATTATGAGGTAAGTATGACTTTGAGCCGGTTCCCTTTCCTCTACCTGCACTTTCAAAGCCACGACCTGGACCAGCAGTTTTAATTGTAGTCCCAGCATCGACAGCTGCAGTCTTATTGTACCTTTCATTACGTCTACGGAAATTGTTGTTATTAATTCTCTTCCAACTCAAGTAACAAAGAAATAATGATGAAATGCTAATTTAACATACATCCATACCTAGTGATTGGGGGCCTGCCATTATGTTCATGCCAAGGAACTGTCTTCTTGATGTCATTCTCAAATATTTTCTGTCATATTCACTAATAGTTAGGAATCGGTTTGAAGTTGAGAAAAATTTTAGGAGACATCCATGAAATGAGTACCTTAATGGGAAGCTGGATGCCTTCAAGCAGGCGAGGTATGTGAAAGCGTTCAGCAGGCAACTCAAAATTAAAGCACCTGATGACATGAAGAAACTTCAACTAAGAATTTATTGCACATTACTAATAATTGAAGAGCTAGATGTTGTGTATATGCAATACACCCTCTTTCTTTCAACTAACATGATATCGTCTTCAATTGTTGTTTGCTGCTGCAGATAACACCCCAAGTCCCTTTTGAAACTAAGCAAAAGAACAAGAATAACTTTAGCTTTGGGCATGTAGATTAAGCACTAATATATGCTTAGTATATGACAAAAGAGTATTAGTAGTAGTAGAAATCAAAACCTATTTGAATCCCTTGTGAATGACTTGTTAGTTGACTGAACATTTCTTGCAGCTTCACTGTCCTGCATAATGTAGTTTACTTTTTATCATCATGAAAGCAGGGAATCCTTCCAAATTGCACCAGTAAATTTAAAAACTTACCATTACTTTCTGCTCCGCTTGTTTGGTGGCGTTCAAGAGTTTTTCCTCATCTATGAAAGGAAGCTTACAAATCCCCTTTCCCACACAAACATAAAAAGCCACATTTGCAGATTAGACAACTTTCCGACGGACATATACTCCTTTAACATATAAAAAGGTCCATCAATGCATTAAGAAAGTAGGGAAGATGGGAAAATAGGAAGAAGCATTGAATACCTGCCACAAAAATCTTTTACCATCCACATCAACTTCAAAATCTAAATCATTAAAATGGAATAGAAGTCAGTGAATCCACAATAAACTACATATATAGTAAAATCAGTCAAGTTTGATGATTTTTACCAATAGGATAAAACTTAATGATACTAGAGCAGCTATCTGTCATCAATTCTTGATAAACAGTTGGAAGTGCATGTGCACTGCAAAAATCATTAGTCATCATTACATCCGAAATTATATTTGATGCTCATTCTAATCTTGAATTAAGGACTAGATCAAGCAACAGTCAACAATAACCTTTTTGGTGGAAGCACAGCCATTAACTGGTCAAATGGCTTAAATGGAGAACCCTTTTGAAATCTTACTTTAACACTGGCTAAACCCTTTAGATCCGAAGCAAAAGGTCCATAATACTTTGGATAATACCTATAGTAATGCACTTGGGGTATTAAGTAGTAGATGAGTTTTGATAAAAATAACAATAGGCAGGATCTTTCACCAAATCAGAAAAAATTTATACAGTAGGTATTTTCCAGTGGTGGTGTGTTGCATTACCAATTCCAAGACGGTATACCAGAATAATAGTAGAGCAAGACCCAACATAGTCCTTCTGTATACTTGTGAACCTGCAAGCCAACAAGCCAAATGATGTTCTACCTCATTAAGCAATACATTTACATTATTGAACAATAACATCAAAATATCACTTACTATTTCCTTTCTGACATTTTCCATTCCATTGGAGTCTTCAACATTGAATTTATGTTTGTAATATCTCAGCTTCCAACCCAATGAACCTAGTTTCACCTGAACATTTGTGAAGCTGACTATTATTAGCAACAAAATACCAATCAGATCAACATGAAAACTCAAATTGTGGTAAAAATTGCAAGTGTTACCTTATCTGTTCCTAATTTGCCATGTCTGAATAAATCAGACTTTTTACGAATGCGATTCTTCAGTCTCTCATTCAGCTCCTTCGTATTTTGTAACATATAAGTCATCAATTAAGTCAAAAATTTAGTAACAAATCTACTTGAACACATTGTTAAGCAAGCAATAACGAACGTATTCAACATTCTAATCAACTTCAGGCATTCCAATTAAAAATAATTATCAACAGCCACCAGTCAATGACATATAGGACGACATGACTTACTTCCTGAATATCTGAACTTGAGTTATTTTCTAAAGTGATTCCAGTTTCGTGTTACTTCCTGAATATCCATGAGCAAGACTATAGCATTCTGTCATTTAAGAAGGAAGAAAAATCAACAATCACTTATTAGCTGACAAGTAAAAATCTGTTTTCTTTATTGTGTGTAATGCTAACCTCATGTATATCCAAGGTGGGCATGTGAGGCAAGAAGTCATTCCCAACAAAGAAACATAAGAACACGAAGTCATCAATAACTCGCTCTATGTCATAAACAAAATTTTCTGGTGGATCATCTATCTGCATGTCGAGCTCCAAATATTCCCTCAAAATCCAAATGTGCAGAAACTGGAGAACATGTAATGGTGAGGTTTAACTGAAATAAATTAAGTATTTGTGACGACTATTTTAAGGTTAAAAAAACATTGTTACATACTTGATAGTGCTGAGGTTGAATAAGCGAAGATAGCATTTTATCACCACTGTCAAAGAAAGGTTTTGGCCTATCCCCGCTTGATTTAGCCAAGGAATAATGCAGTTTAGCATTCTGAATACTTGTAATCAGAGTTGATTCAGAAATAGGGGCCTGTTCTTGCATTGTAAGCACATCCTATAACATAACACAATTAATAAAACATCAACATAATAAAAAGAATTAGCATTCTACAACGTGTAGCATTGAATCATATATAAAATAATCACTATGTGTGAAATATCTATCAATTTAGTTTTCTGCTCAACATTTTTGCATTGCTACGTGTTCCAGTGGTATGTATTATACACTTTTATCTCATATATAAGTAATTGTCCACAAAGTGAGAAATAAAAAATTGAGGAAAATATATTACCTCCCTTAAAATTGAAAAATGCAATTCATGAGTAGCCAATGCAAGCATTATCAAGTCTGCATCCTGAAATAGTTTAAGCAAAACCAAATCATTGAATCGTAGAGGAGAATGGAGGAAATGAATATTACATTAGTGCATGTATATATATATATATATATATATATATCGTACCAGTCCATATAGGCAATGCCTTGTGTTGGGATCATATCCTGGCAAGCTACGCTTGGTGCGTATAAAAGAAGTGATTTTCTGCTCTCCTTCACCAGGAACAGTAGCATCAGAAAGAATAACCTGACATGATACAAAATGAAAGAACTCAATATATACGGAGTACGTAGTTTTTCATATGAAATAGTCGTACAAGGTAAATTTAAAAAAATAAAATAAAAAAATGGTACGGTATAAAGCAAATAATGAACCTCAAGTTGGGACCAAAGAGGATCATTCTTAAGCTTTTGACAGATATACAAGTTCAAAGCCCTAGAAAAGTCGTGCATAAAATGTAATCATAATAAATTATTAAAAAAATAAAGTAAAGTTAGAGAGAAAATTTCCTCAGGCATGCTTGAATTTGGAAAGATGTATTATTAGGGTAATAAAAGTCAAACTAAGTAAAATGAATATGAAAATAGAGAAGGAGGAGATAGTGATGGTGTGATCGTAAGGAAAATTATGTAGTGATGATGTGGTATGAGGTGAAGAAAAAGAAACTAATATCCTCATTTTGGGGGTAATAGTTACATTAGGGGGAGAGTGGGTAACTATTAACCTCATTATGAAGGTAATAATTCCTCCATCTCTCTCTTTTCCTCATGGCAAAACTACCTTATTTTATTTGTAAGCATCATGCCTCCTACAACAATACCTCTAATTACTTATGTTTTTTCAAGTTTGACTTTTATTACCCCCTTAATATATTACGCCCAATCCAAGCAAAAAAGACTACTACGAGTATATAGGTATATAGATGTATGTCGGGCAATAGCACTATGGTTACATTGTAGATACTACCTAATTCCAAAGCTGCCCGACCTTTCAACTTTTTCAAGGTCGACAATTAACTAACATACTCCCTACGTCTTTTATTTACATGTCTAGTTCTCATTTTACACGGGAATTAAGGAACTTAAAAGCCATGACTGAAAAGTACAAATATGCATGTGGGTTTAGAGAGAGATAGAGAGAAAGAAAAGGTAGTTGGTAATTATTGAAGAGATGGAGAGAGAAAGTGTTGGAAATTTATGTCAAAAGTACAAAAAAAATTAATGACAACTTATCAAAAAGAGGGAATAGTGTCAAAAAATACATTCCTAAAATAGAAATAGGCATGTAATTTTAAAACCCCCAAAAAAGAAAGTAGGCATGTCAATAAGAGATAGAGGGAGTATTACATACTTGATCGACTATCACTTTCATATATTTTTTTGATGTATATACTTTGTACTTCCTTCATACCCTTCTTTTTAAGAAAGTATACTTTGAGATGAACTATTTTCATTTGATAGTGTTTTTTGTAACTCTCTGTATCCTAAATTAGTCACATTGCTTTGGATAACACATAATTTTAAGTATTTTAATTAATTTATTACATTGGGAGGTATAGAGTACTCCGTAAGTGATTGTCGGGTAATTAAAAATATTACTTTGATAAAATACACTATATTTTAAAACTTTTTTTTTTAAGGGTATATTTTTAAAACTTTGTGAAAAGTAAATATTTAAAAAAAAAAAGTACGAGTAGTAAATAATACTACTTATACTAGTAATAATTATTATTATTTCCTAAAAAAAAATTATTATTATTTAAAAATAAATAAGGTGGTGTATATTGGTTTTCATTGTTGTCGTGTTGGAGGCCCAATATTATATGCCCTTCATGTAAAACCAAAGCTGTGACAACACTGTTGTGTAAATCCAATTAGAAAAGCCCATATTCTAAAAGGCTGAAACCAGAGTCATCCCGTTTAGTTAGTCTTTGCTAGAAAGGTCCACCATCAACCATAGGGGTGCTAAACTTTTAAGCCGAGCCCGTATATTGGTTACTGAACCTATGGAAAGATTGGTAACAAAGGAAAAAACGACAGTTTTAGTAGAAACTAGAAAGGTTTTACAGCTTACAGGTTCTCGTGTCTTTGCTGCCCAGGCTTCAAGGTCGTCATGGACTCGCCCACCGCATGACTGCATCAAAGTAAATGTTGATGCACATGTTCCTGAAGTGGGTATGGCTGGGTTGGGGGTTGCTGCTCGTAATCATCAAGGAGTGTTGCTGTTTGCTGCTGTGCGAAGAGTGCCACTCACTAGCCCAGGCATAGCTGAAGCAATGGCTGTTCGGCATGGTGTTCAGGTTGCTCTAAGGCTTGGTTACAAGCGGGTGTGGATCGAAAGCGATGCTCTTAATGTCGTGAATGCAGTCAGTAGTCAGGGGTACATGGAAGGGTGCTAGTCCTTTTTTCTTGATTATTGGGGATGTGAAGAATGATAGCTTATGTTTCGATTGGTTTAAAGTTTCTCATGTTAGACGGGCATGTAATGCCGTGTCCCATTCCATTGCTCGTTGGGAGACGGGGAGTAGAATAGAACGTGTTTGTATTGATTCTTTCCCTCAAGGTATTCTAGCCTTGGCGGAAATTGATTTGCTATAATAAATTGCCCGCGTACCTTGTCTTCAAAATGAAAGTTTTTTTTTTTTTTTTTTTTTTTTTATTTTGGTAGAAAAATAAAAAATAAAAATGAAAACTAATATCGTAGAGAGAATATGTTTAAAAAATAGATTACTCTACTATAAACTATCTATAATAACATAAATTTTACTACTAAAACTAATTACTTTATAAAACTCTTAAAATACTACCTCCGTTTCTGAAAGTTCGACTCACTTACTATTTACATGGTTAAAATAAAATAACTTTGACCACATTTTATGAGCTATACAATATAAATAAATTAGCATGTGAGATCATATTAGATTCCCCTTATTATAAATAATTCAAATGTCAACTTTTTACAAATTTCACTTATACACGACCAGAGTTATTCATGGTCAAAGATGTTTATTGGAGATCGCGCAATTGCAAAGTGAGTCGAACTTTTAGGAATGGAGGGAATATATATTTTAACAGGAATAACAACTTATTTGGTAGCTAATAATAAATTACGATAATATGAGTATGTATTTTGAGCAACAACCATTATAATATAATTTCCGGTACATAAGCGGAAGCTAAGCCTAGAAGTTGCGAAGATACCATAGTAATAAAAATGAGGACAACGATAAATGTACAAAGTTAGGAACCTACAAGAGAGCTTCAGAATAGTGAAGCTCATGCATGCACACCAAAAATGTGGACCTACGTACCTTTTGGATCAGCTTTAAACACCCCAAATTGAAATTCATTTGTTCGTAACTTTTACTCTTTGGGACAGTATTTATTTGTTATCTGCAATTTGGTACTAGTAATAAGCTAGTTGGGTCAATTGATCAAGTCAACTGTCAAAGACCAAATAAAATAGAGTAATTCATACAGTCCGGAGTATTCCATAATAATATGAGAGTGGTGTTATGTGCCGGCCTTTTTGTCTTAACATAAGACAGTAATCAAAACTGTGTTACCTCATTTCCCGGCATCCCATCCCTTCCTCGGCCACACTTTATTATTATCTTTTCTTATTATTGCCTCTCTCTCTATTCTATTGTTATAGGAAGAATCAATCATAATCTAATCCAGGTCTTCCTTCTTTTTTTTTTTTTTTTTTTCCTGCTATATTTATTTTTAAGCAAATAATTACTTTTTCCAATGATGTAGATGTGTCGCATTTAACATGGTACCTTTTGAATGAATTTGGCCTATTGCTATTAGCTATGATCCAGGGAATAAGCATAAGCAAAATTCATTTTCTTTAACTTTCACTTATTTTCTATGGTGTTACATTTCGCACGGGCAAAAAATTACATGATCATAATGGATCTCACTTTTTGTTTACTACTACCGTACTTAATTGTAAAGTGATATGGGATGTAGTCTACATGTCTTAATTATGTTTATATTTTTAGATCTATAAGATGTGTTTATAAAAGCTTATTAGTATTTACACCATACTACACTTCGTGAAGGTAATATAAATTGACATTCCCATCTTATTAGAGAGATACGAATAGATAATTACTTATAATTATTACTATACAAACTAAATACATAACGTTATTAATTGGTTAATTGGCTTAAATTATTCAATGATTATGTGTGCAATTTCCATTTTAATGAGGCTTTCCTAAGTCCTTATATATATTTTCCCTAACCTTTAAAAAAAACAACGGTGTACTAGCAATGAGCAAAAAGTGTTAGTTTGATGAATTTGGTGCGAAAAGATGGCAAGTGGCGATTGGAAAAGTAGAAAGGAGTATTTGCAACGACGAGGCAGAAAAAGAGAGCACCTCACCTAACTTGAATGATTTCAGTGCAGCCACATGGTAACACTCTTGTGGTTTACCACATAGAATCACTATTGCTTCCTATTTAATTTATTATTAGCACATATACAGAACTAATCATCATCAAATCTCGTCCATCTATCATCACACACGTTCACCATTTAGTCATGTACATACTTACTACAGTCCACACTCCACACTACTACATATTCCAATTCCCTTTTATTTGTTTTCCTTAAACCCCGGCGGCCCTACGTACGTGGAATTTAACATTCTTTCTTTCTCCCACGATTAAAGCTGTGGAAATTTACAACAATTGTGATCCCTTTTGTTTATACCAATTTTTACTATATTTAGTAGGTGCGTTTGCTTGACTAGTACTCTTAAAATCTGAATTTGGCACACCCAACTCTAATTGTTGTGTCAATTCAATTGTCATCCATGTGGGATGAAGTTGCACACCACCTAACATTATGGATTTATGGTTGTCTAGCCTACTATACATCTTAAATCAACATTCTCATTGTGTTTTATTGTGTGTATCCGCTCCTTCATTTATACGGAGCTCCTCCTCTGCAAAGTTAAGGTCTCTCTTGAATCTTTACATATTAAGGTTCTTAAATGTAGTGTGGTGTTGCACCTTAGTGTCAAGTGTTGTAAAGGCTTATGTGTTAAAAGCCTATTTATCCTTTATTTTGTTGTTTTAAAGTCTAGGCCTCTAGTAGCAAGTTTTTTCTGTTATATCGTGTCTTGTAAACTCTGATTTATTTTTTTTTATGTTAATTTAGCCTTTGTCAAAAAAAAAAAAAGACATTAACACTTAACATAATGCTTTCATCACTGATAATCAATAAGTCATCATCATATATAACCTAATTAAAAATTAACAACAATAAAGTAATTAAAGTATATTACTTATTAGATCAAATTAATAAAGAATTATTCATTTACATTCAAAATTTTAAACTTAACTAATTTACTTATTCTTCTTAATTGGTACAAGTGTCACTAATTAGTAATATAGATCATCTATCAAAATTGTGAATTTGAGTCAACCAATCTATTTTAGGCATATGCTCGCTTACCGGCGTATATAATCAGGAGTTTAATTCGAACATACACTATGTATAGTTATTTCTAGCTCACGCCAGGCCACCATGAACATTCAAATATATGACTTTTTAATTGCACCTAGTGGCTAAAGTAATAAGTAGATTATTAGTGATACACGGTGGTAATATCGTTGACAAAATTTACACCTACTTTGTTTCAGTGGCGTGGATCTTGGCCAAAAATATTAAATGGGTCAAGATTTACATATTTTACCTACCGCTCAAAACTAATCATTATGTCCTGATATGTTATGAGTAAAATAAGTTTATTTAAGTTTATTAACTAATTAATTACAATAATTAGGTCCCCTCTGCTTTGTTTGATCAGTCCAACATGCTATTTATATATGTTCAATTTAGTTCCTTTCTTTTCATAAATTAACATGGCATCATTTAATGAATCATAGTAACAATGTATGAAACAATGTAAATACAGAAAAATAGAATAAGAGCAATATGAGAGCATCTAGAAAGGTTGGAGACGCAGAGGGCGTCATGATGTCAAGAGAGAAAGGAACACGATCCCACGGATACGGATCTAATTACCACGTTGTTTTCATTTGAATTGGAGGAGTCGTCGTACCTCGCTACCATGCAATCGCATGATATGATAATTAGCTTAGCTGTAATATTTAATTAATTGGGCTGTTACTTTAAATTAATAATCAGGATCAGTAATTAGTAAAAATTAATAAGAAAATAAAAAAGGTTAGGGATCGGTGTTGATGATATATAGAAATGGGAAGCACATGCAATGATTCACAAAGACAATATTAATGATAGGACCAATTCATACGTACATGTTGCCACTCATCGACTACTCGTATTTGTTACTGCAAGGAAGCTTCACCTAATCATTATTATTCATTATTTATTATTTAAGGATACATTTACATATCTCTCTCTCTCTCTTCACAGATTGCCGACACTCGCTATAACAAGTCAAGGTAAATTGGCGGAGTAATGAGCCATTTCAAATTTTGGCTACTTATACAATTATTATACCATTTACAAGTATTTTTTTATTTCTATATGCATCAAGTATAAAACTAGCTGCAAGTATCGCATTATTCTGAAGGATGCATTAAGTTTTAACCTCTATAGTTTCGTTAAATTAAAGAAACATAGAAGGAGACGGATGTTATGAGTTACTTTTCTTATAGAGTACTCGTAATAATTGCGTGGATCCAGACCATAAATTTCAATTGATATTGTACTCCAAAATTCATCAGAGGATTTTTATTTCTATGGTGGGGTTGAGTAAGTGGATATTACAAAAGGCATGTTTTTTTTTCCTGATAAAAAAAAATTATGTAAATGTTCAAAGAACCGATTAATTCATGAATAGCTAGCTTATTTTGTTACATATGTGCTATAATACGTATTTCTGCCCGTATGCTACTATAATATGTTACTGTTATTTTACCAAAAGTCAATGCAATAATTTAATATGATGTATTTATGATAAGTCGAATTGATCCAAGTTGAATATTACTATACGTGTAATAGACATGAATTGATTAATGATTATATAGTAACAAATAAAGAATAAGTGCATATAACATGGGGGTGGCCTAATATAACAAGGAGTAACGTGAAACTAATTAACGAAGCCTAATTAATGTGAACTTAAGGAAATGACTCAATTTCCACCCCTATAAACTCTACACTGATAACAACTCTTGTGTCTTTCATTTCATGGCCTTTTTATTTGAAAAAAATAGAAGAAGAAAAGCGTGACAATGCTATAAAGCCAAAAGAGAAATCACTATGACAATAGAAATGAATGAGCGGCTCACATGCACAACCCTATCCAATCAAAAGCCAAAGTGGCAAAGTATCATAGTCCCATACGTCTTTCCTTTTTCAGCAACTTTTTGGTACAGCAGGTCATATCGTGTGGCAGGGGTTATTCGAGTTATTTTGTTAGGGGTTATCCGAGTTATTCAGTCAGGGGTTACTCGAGTTACTCGGTTAGGGGTTACTTGAGGGGCTCGACAGGGGTTACTCGAGGGGTTCACTCGGTCAAGGGTTACTTGAGGGGTTATTCAGTCAGGGGTTACTTGAGTTACTCGGTTAGGGGTTACTCGAGTTACTCGGTTAGGAGTTATTTAAGGAGTTCGGTCAGGGGTTACTCGAGTAATTCAGTCAAAGGTTACTTAAGGAGTTCGGTCAGAGGTTACTTGGTCAGGGGCTACTTGAGGGTTCAATTAGGAGTTACTTGAGGGGTTACTCGGTCAGGAGTAACTCAAGTAACCCCTGACCGAGTAAAATCCCGACAACTCGAGTAACCCCTGACCGAGAAACTCGAGTAATCCCGACAACTCGAGTAATCCTTGACCGAGTAACTCGAGTAACCCCTGTCGTACAATACAGCATACCGCATACAAAAAATTGTGTACCTTTTTTCCCTTCATCACTTTATTACAAGACAATATGAATAATTATTGGCTATGTATGTATAATTGAGACTATAATAATATGAGTAATAATGAACTAATTAATGATCTGATCATCAATAACATTTACAAATTACTTAAAATTGTGCTTATTAGCTAGCTGTAATTACCAAGCCACAATTATTTTTTTTAAAAAAAAAAAAAAGATAAATCGTATGAAAGAGTAAAAATTACACAAGCTAATTAATTAATTAACACGAAGTACTACTATGATGGAAGAGTATACTGGTAGTAGCTAGCTAAACAATACTCGTGGTACTTGTAAGGTCCATGAAAAAAGGTGGTACAGTTGATGATGGTGGGGACCCGAATTAAATAGCGACATCAACTTGACAGCTACTAGAAATCTGAAACTTAACATCAGAAGAACCAAGATTATTAAAGGCGTTACCTTTGTTACCAAAAGAGAGGTAAGCAGGACAATTAGCATTCAAATGATATCTTCCGGAAACCCAAGTGCCAACCTTCCACTTAACACGACCATTAACCTTGATCTTCATGACAACCAAACCGGCGTTCTGATCTTGTTGTAAGGACATACCTAAGTAAGGAGCAATAGGAACATTGTTGCCGTAAAGAAAGGGAGACCAAATAGTGACATCTTTATGACCTTGGTAAGTGTACGGCATCCTTGCTGGTAGTGTGATCTGCTGGTTGCGGTAGGATGCGTGTACATCTAAGCGCTCGTAGTAGACTCCGATGCGCTCGTTTGGGTTGCGGGAGGAAAGGGTCACTTGGAAGGTAGCCGTTAGAAGGTTTGGTGCGGTCACGTTGAAGGCGTAGACGGTTGCATCTTGGAGTACAAACCTTGGTTTGGTGGGGCGTAGGACTAGCCATATTATGAAGACGACCAACAGGACTAGGACTATGAAGGTTAAGATGCCTCCTATTAGACGATGGAATGCTCCCTTCCGATCGTCATCGTCGTGCCCACAGTCTTTTGATGTCATCTTTTCTTTTCTTTTTTTATTATTATAAATTTGGATTAAATAGAGGAGAATTGAAAGAGTAGAAAAGGTTTTGTGGGAAGTAAGGAGGATGAAGATATATAGTAAGAGACTGTAAGAGAGAGAGAGAATGAGGTTAATTGAGAGTGGGGTGGGTGGGAGTGTGAGAGTTTGTTTTGTGGAGGAGTATTTTTGCAAAGGGAGTGTATGTATTTGTATGTAGGAGTGTCTTGACGCGTTAGGTGAAACTCGTTTATTTTTTGATAAATTTGTTGTGTGGGGATAACCGAGGGGCTTAAAGTAAGTTTACTACTTTAATCCCACACCTTCACTATATTTAACACATATAAAAAATTATTTTTAATTTGTCAAAAAATAGCTTTATATTACAAAGTTTCTTTTAAAACTAGCCACTTTCTTTTTCAAATGACAAATAACAAACTACTTTAATCCCCCTTTTCATGTTTTATTATTGCCACCATTGCTCCATTAACTAGCTACTCAAATGGATAGATTTTCTCCTATGATCACAATGATGAGGATCCATGTAGAATGGTCAATGAAATTGAATTGGTTTCAAGTAGATTTTTGAGGTGATAAATCATATCGAAGTATTAGGTAATAGGTATTACTCAGTATTAAATTAAGATTCTTCATTTGAAAGTGTTTTCTTACATAGAAATCTTAATTTAATTGTAATGGTGAAAATTAAATTGACTGCAGCGTCCCTTAGTTATAAGGATGAACTATATAAAACATGTAGTTTTGTACATATCAAGCTATTGTAAGAAAATTAATTTACAATGAATACGCGTATCAACAAAACAAAAATTACAAATGCAAGGAGTACCAAGCTATATATTTATTAAAAAAAAAAAATTAATTAATTAAAATAATAGTATCATGACATTGTTAAAAGTCCGTTCATATATACAACAATAATGGTAATAGTGTACTATACAAAGTAAAAAAATATTGATTTTGTAACTTAATATATATTACAACAATTGATTTTTTTTTTTGACAAATAATAATAATTAACAGTACTCGGTAACTAAGAAAATTACCAATTACACTTTTAAAAAGTGTGATGGCTAGTTGGTTATCCTTAAAATTCGACGCCAATACATCTAAGGGTACATGTTAATTAGCCAAAGAATAATAGTATATGGTACATAGAATTATAGTATATCGAAATAGTGAGTGAAGATAAAATGGAGTGAAGTGTGTAGATGTCACTAGGCGATGTGAATATAGTGGCGGAAAATGTTGGGCATGTGGGGATGCAAATGCAATGGATCATCTTATCACCATCGGAATCTGTGGGCCGCGGCTTCTAATTTGGTTCCATTCGTTGAGTGTTTTAGTGCAACGATGACTATATTTTATTGATTTTTATTTTTCAGGATGACTATATTTACAATTATGCGTAATTACCTATTTAATTATTTATACAAGCTTGTTAAACTATAAAGGTGTCCTTTGCTTAAACTCCGTAGCCTGTAGGGCATAACATAATTATTTATGGTGCCTGCAATGGGTTGTAGGCGGTGGTGGCATATTGTGCACTTGTGCTTTATGTCGGCTCAAACAAGTGCCATTCTCTATTTCCAAAAAAAAAAAAAAAAAAAAAAAAAAAAAAAGAAGTTACCATTCTCTACCAAAAAAGAGAAGCAGCAAATAAAGATTTCCGTTTCTTCATTTTAAAATTCAACAGAATAATGGAAATTTATTCGAATTTCAATTGAAGAAAGGCTAAAGGAGAATATGATGGAAGAAAGTATAGTAGATATATATTTTTTTTAATCACAAAATAAAGGAATGTAGACTTTATACAGTATATTTTTAAGCCTGGCCCCTATTTATCATATACATACGTTGTCAATAAATACAACGTCTATTTATTATAAAACGGTCTATTTACAATTTTGTAAAATTAAAAAGCTTTAGTACAACAGATTGTCAAATTGATATATTGTTGTACAAGTAGCAGACTAGCAGAACACTGAGTACTTGAGCAGTCGTTTTTGAGTAGTATTGATGACTCATGTGGGCATTTAATGTTATCATTGGCCACCATTTAACAAGTCATATTAAGCACGAGTAAAAAACCGAAATAATCTTTAACTAATAATACAGGCAGTAATCTGGAATGAAATTCCTTATTACGGGTATTTAATAATCACCGTTTATAATTTAATGCTTTAATAAGGATTTGTTCAATGTCATATGACAATTAATTATAATGTATTGGAAAGACGACTTGAGATGGTTCATGCATTAAGGAAACAATTATTACATTAAATAAAAGAAAGAGCGCAACCATTACTTTACTAATGGTGTTACTGCAACTCCCTTTTTGTTTGTGCACTGAAAAGTGTAGTGCTTATATTAGATCATTAAGCAAAGATGATTAAGGTAAAGCTTAGAAGTAAGGGCCTTAACAAAAAGCTCTTTATTCATATTGTAAAAGCTGCCTAGCCGGGGCTATTACATTCATGACTCACATAACAAGACAAAACCTTATAGGGTACTTACAAAAATACAAAATCAACTTAGTATAATAAAGGAATATAATAAAGGGAAAAAATTACAAGGAGTACAATTTACAATCATTGAAGCATAAACCAGATGAATTGCATACACTTATCGCAGAGTATGCTATTACATATTTTACATTTGTTTAATAATAGCAGCAAGTAAGTCCATTATACTTTGTATTAATCAACAACTTATAATCTCAATATGAAGTTTTAACTAAATCATGTGTTACATAGAACAACAGTTGTCGGTGTGTCTCTAAACGAAAGATGTGAAGTAGCAAAGCACAAAGGCAAATTCAGAGGTGTGGGGGTGTGGCCCGTATGGTTAAACAATCAACATCGTTCTTAAACCTTGACAATGAAAAAGAAAAGCTGGAATGAGTGAATGGATACTTTTGTATGGATTTGAATGATATGAAAGAGGAATACAATTCATATTGGTTTTGTTGGGATTATTCATAAGCTGCCTTAATTTTAAGTTATATGGGCTTGCATAATTACATTAGTTGTGTAACTAGTCTTGTATACTTAAGCCCAAGCTTGTGGTTTAGGATGTATGTATCATTGTATACTCTAATATGCTGTTAAGCCCAAATTTACGTGCATTGAGGGATTAATTAATATATATGCACAAGGATTTATTAACATATCCACTGTCCTTGGATCATTGTTGTATACATAATTACAGAGTAGGATAATTTCAATGGTATTTCTCCAAGAAGTACTTCAGTTCCATTTGTTTCAACACCCTTCTTGTCTTCAAAGTTTTCTTCAACATCTTCATGGTCATTTCTTATACCCTTCTCGTCCTCTTCTTCAACATCTTCGTGGTCATTTCTTATACCCTTCTTTTCTTCTTCAACATCTTTGTGGTCATTTCTTTTACCCTTCTTTTCCTCTTCTTCAACATCTTCGTGGTCATTTCTTATACCCTTCTTGTCCTCAAAGTTTTCTTCGTCATCTTCATGGTCAGTCCTTAAACCCTTCTCGTCTTCAAAGCTTTCTTCAACATCTTCATGGTCATTTCTTATACCACACGAATTGCCATATTCACCTTCACTTTGTTGCATAGGTTCAGAATAGTCGAGGCTGATGTCTATCTCAGTCGGTAACATAGAAATTTCTACTCCATCAGACTTTGGATCAGTTAACTTGACTTCAGAATCAATGGAACAAAGATAATCTGATAACCTATGCCTTTTTGCTTCCATCTTTTGTAATTCCATCTTGCAAACACTATATTGATCCTTCAGCTCCTTCACCTTTTGTTTAGAGGACTCCAACATGAATTTTGCAGATTGGAACTCATCAACGGCCAAACAGAGTTGATCTTGCACCTTTTTCAGCTCCTCAAGTTGTATTACCTTATCTTCCGAAGATATTAATTGACTTTTAGTAGAGTCCAATTCAAACATAATGGATGAATGTTCATTTTGTATCTTTCCTAGTTCTATAAACTTGTCTTCCTTCTCCTTCACATACGAAGAAAGCTCATACTCAAGCTCTTTCATTTTTTTGTTCGAGGACTCTAGCTCAATCTTAGTGGATTCTAACTCGGATTTGACAGCATAGAAATTGTTTCGGGTGAAAACAATGGGACCTTGTCGAAGGTCCGATGAAGTGGAGAAGACTGGATTCGGTCCAAGTGATGTTGGGCCGAAGGTTTCCTGCACAGTAACACACGTAAACTAGCCTCGGGGGTGTTGCCGAGGAAGGCCCCTCCGATGCTAAAGTCAGTACAGTGTGTAGAAAGAGAACACTATGTAAGAGAATTAATTGCTTGAGGCTTTGCTTGAATGAATGTACAAATGTAATATTGATGGCTTTTATACCTTTGCATATATGGAGAAGTTGGGCCTTAGCCCAATTGGCTTGCCTTGAGGACTGATCTTTGACTTTAGCACAATTGGAGAGTTGAACCTTGACCTTGGGCTTTTAATTGGATCATTCAGTGACTAGGCCCAATTGGACTAAATTGGACCCAAACAGAAATTATCCTCTACAGTTTGGTATCTTGTTTGCAGGTCTTCACTTTCCTTCTTGCAAGTCGAAAGTTGTTCCTCAAGATCCATGGCTCTTTCCTCTGAAAGATCTAACTGGATCGTGGTGGATTGTAACTCAAAAGTAGTCAAAGAAAGTTGATCTTGCACCTTTTCTAATTGCACTTCCATGCTTTGTATTTCCTTAATACAAGTAGAGACTCGCTCTTGGAGCTCTTTTAACTCTTTTTCAGACAACTCCAACTCATCCTTGTTAGCATGCAGTTCAGACTCCATTGAAGAAAGTTGGTCACACGCTTTGCACAATTTCGTTTCAGTATCCTCCTGGACCTTTTTACAAGCTAGAAACTGCTCTTTTAGGTCTAAGACCTCCTTCTGTGAAGCTTCAAAACTAGCTTTGGCAGATGACGCCTCAGCCTTGGTAGAAGAAAGTTGTTTATCAAGTTCTTTAATTTTTTCATCAATTGCTGCAACGGTGGATAATTCTGATCCCATTTTTTTTTTTTTTTTTTTTATAAATATCTACTCTCCATGTGAAGAGCTGTTTAACCTTTTCTCAAGTGAATTTGATAAACAATAAAGGTATATATTAAAACAACAACGTAAGGTTGCAAAGGCTCTATGAAAATGGAAGGTAAGAGGTTAATATGTTGAATATAGGCAGGTGTGGTGAGGACAATGGAATTGAAACAATAAACAAAGGGTCAAAATATATATTTAGGGGTGAAAGGCTAAACCAGATGCCAAGTTACCCATATGCAATATTCTTTGATTCTTTTCAAAAGTGTGTTTAGTTTGAGATGCCAAAGAACAAGTCCTTGTTGCAGACTTGCAGGTTAGGAAAACTGATTCTCATGGAAATTTAGCACCGAAGGACACGCATGTAATCTTAGCAAACATATTCCTCAAATATGGGATTTGTATGTTACAGTAGATGATATATAAAGAACAGAGTAGCTCAGATTAACTTCAGAAAATCCAAATGGAAATTCCACTTAAATATATGTTTGCCAGATAAAGAAAAAACAGAAAAACATTAACAAAACCCTTCTACTCTGGTTCTTTTTGTACAGAAGATAGAGCATGCATTGATGCAGGGCAGCACTCAGCAGGGGACATTATTTCTTCACCCAAAATTTTGTTGGAATTTTCTAATCCATTGATAACATTATCTTGACCTGTATCTATATACCAGGTTTTGTGCAACTACATTCTATATGACGAAGTAAGCCCTCCTACACTTAGGATTTAAAAATTACGAAGTAACAATTAGTCTCAATAAGATAAAGGGGAGCACATCAACTACATTCCACATAATCTATAAGTAGATTGATTGCAAGGCTTTAAACTTTAGTTTATATTTATATTGTTCCTACTATAAGTGTGGTTTTTTTTTTTTTTTTCCTTTCCTATTATAAGTGGATATTTAAGAGTATATTTTACAGTAATATTTTTATTTAGATTTTTAGAAATTACTTGTATATTTTAAGTTTCTGTTCCTATTATAAGTGGATATTTAAGAGTATATTTTACAGTAATATTTTTATTTAGATTTTTAGAAATTACTTGTATATTTTACGTTTCTGATATAACACCCCAACCTCTTCACCCCCACCCCACACACACAGACACACACACACACAAATCATCCACACTTATAAAACTGTAAACTTACATCCTGAATCTAAACATTTGTAAAAAGTGGACAAAAATGTTTGCAAAAGCTACCAGCTTACCCATGATTAGCAACACCAGCTAATTGAGCTATGGCGTCACTGGAAACTCATTTAGACAACTAATTCCATACAAAGTGTAATCGATAGTTCCCAAATACTATGTTCCCTAGACATATACAATCTAAATTCTCTGCTTTCTTCTAAAACTCTGAGAATACATCACATTTACAAGCAAGTTCCTTATTACCTCTACCCTCGTCCACTAATATCAATTTAAAAGGCCACAATAATATATGGTATGGTATGTTCTCTATAGAACCGCAAAGTTGAGGAGCATGGAGAACCTATACTGCCCCAGTGCCCCTTCCTTATAACTCCTGTTCTTAGTATGGACTCTGTATGTATATCATTCTACCATTTATCTCAAATATAATATATCTGGCCTCCTTTCCAACGATAACGCTTCAGAAGAAACAAAACTTTCTCCAAACAACATAATCAAAACTCAAAAGCATATAATGACATGCCACACACTATAATTATAATGGAAGTAAATTATAAGCACTTGCAATTGTTTATGAGAAAAAAAAAATATATAATCCCAGCACAAATTAAGCTGCCAATTACTAATCATTCCATTATATTCTTAATTATAGTATACTCGTATATATAAATACTTGTAATCGTATAACCTCAATAGAAAATAGAAATACCTGTACTCCACCATAACCAAACAAAAAAGGCAACTGCAATGCTCCATAATGAAGTGGCAGCATCATAAAACTTTGATAGAGAAGTTGATAATGACTCAACAAAATGGAGGCGCCATTGTTATTTGTAATTAACTTAACATTAAAAGATAAACAAAGATACAAAGTCTTTCACTTTACAAAGCACTTTATTTCTTTCTTATCCTCCAACACAACAGGATAATTGCATCAACTCGATCATATTCTTAAATCAGTAACTAATTGAGCACGACATTAGGGCATAATAATAATAATATACAATTCATTAAAAGTGTACATAATTTGTTACCAGTCACCACTCTATCTACAGAAACAGTGAAATACTAAAGACATTAAAAAAACAAAAGAAGCTAGAACAATCAAAATGCCTGTGATTTTAGTGTGATACAGAAACTCTGTTCCATAATTCATATACAACCAACTAATAGCAAAGATTAACAATCACCTGAAAGGAAAGAAGAAGATGAAGAAGAACAAGTATCAGATTCCAACAGAACACCGTCTGGGCCCACCAGATAAATTCCCCTTGGTAGAATTGGATGAAAATGAAACAGTTAAATCATCACAGAAAACCCTAAGAAAGCGTCTTCGAGCTCTCCAACCCCCAGCCTTAAACCTCACCACCGCCATCATTTGAACATCGAATTTGACGCTGCCTCTTGAACGATCATCCTTTAATTTGTTCACCAAATCCGAATTAAGGTAAGCAGAAGAAGCTACAAGATGAGCATCCATGGTAGTTATACTCTTGGTACCCTGATCGAACGGCGGGAGTTGATTCTGAGAAAGCAACGAGTTCCGGTAGAACAAACGAGCCTCGATTTCGTCGTAATAGACGTGGAGTTTGTGGTTAGGGTTAGCGACGGAGAAGTGGAAGGACCAAGTGCCGGAGATTTGGGAAGGAGAGGTGGAGGTGTTGAGGGAGGTAAGAGTGAGAGAATCGACGCTGAAAGACGGGACGCGAGGGCGGAGTACGAGCCAAACGATGAGGAGAATGACGCCGAAAATGATGAAAACAGCGATGAGTGCTGCGAAAAAGCGGCGGAAGAAGGTGGCGCGTGGCTGAGCAGGGTAGTATGCTTGCGGCGCGTTATGGTTGTAAGGATTGTGGTTTGGGTAATAGTAGTTGGATTGTGGTTGTGGCGGTGGTGGGTAACCGTTTTGGGGTGGGGCCGGATAGCCGGTGGCAGGGCGTGGTTGGTTTGTCATTGGAGAGAAAGTAAAGGCGGTTTTTGCAGAGAAAATTTGGAGAGGAAGTAATTGGAGGATTCTGGAGAGTGGAAAATATACGAGTAAATGGGTTCAAATAGAAAAACAAGTCGTGATTCCAACAAGAAACCTTTTTGCACGGAGCATTGTTAGGATACACATAGAGATGTCAGTTTCTAACCTGAATCGTTAAATTCGACTGTTTCTAATCGATCTGAAAAAGAATCGATGCGTTTAAAACCCGCTTTTTAAAAATCGAAAATCAATCCGACCCAATTTTTTCCAACCCGAAACTGAACTGAACCGAATTTGTGCAAACCGTTAATGACCCGACCCGTTATCAAGCCGAACCATTACAACCCAAAACCAAAAACAGCCCGAGCCAATAACGTCTGAATCCCGATAGTAACCCGACCCATTTTAAATCGAAACCGTTTAAATTTGGCAAAAAACCGATAAACCCAAACCGTTCTAACCCATAACCCGTTGCGATTGAACCGTTTATAACCCGTGACCCGTTGAGATCAAACCATTTTCAACCCATAACCCGTTGAGACCGAACTGTTTACAATCCGTAACCCGTTGAGACCGAACCGTTTACAACCCGTAACCCGTTATGACTGAGTCGTTTACAACCCGTAACCCAATATATATGTTTATGATCTGATTTGTTTCATCCTACTACTCGATAAACCCAACTTATTTAAGACTTAACTCGATCATAACCTGACCCCTTACCAATTTTTTAATTAACTCGACTCGATAATGATCCGACTAGATTTTAACCCAATCTGATTTGAATTGAAACCCGCTTCAAACTGCGTAAACCTGTTTTCAAACCGATTATGACCCAAACCAATTTCATCTGATTTGTTTTGAACCGAAACCAGTTTTCAAACCGACCCATTTTAACCCAAACTAATTATGACCCGAATTGATTACAACCCGACCCGATTAGGACCCAAACTATTTTAAACCGAAACCCGCTTTAAACTGACTAAACCCGTTTTCAAACCGATCCGATTCAACCCAAACTAATTATGACCTGAACCGATTACAACCCGACCCGACAAGAAACCGCAATAAAAAATCCAAACAGAACTGATCAGATAATTTTCAAAACCGACCCGATAATCATTTCAACCCGTTATAAAACCGACCCGTTATAACCCGAAATTGATAAACCCAACCCGAAATTGAACTGTTTACCCGAATTGACACCCCTAGATACACATAAATACATAATAATTGCAGAGTCAATTTTCAACTAAATTCAATACTTAATCACAGCCAAAAAGCCCAATTTTTTTTATGATAATTGTACCGCTTATTTACAAAATCGAAAACGTCCATTAATATCAAAGAACGTAACCAATACCATGCACTAAGGAAATAAATATAAAACATGAATTTAATATTTTAATGGCAAAAATACTACAATTAACAAGAAAACTCAATTCAACTTATATTATCATATAATTAATCAATCTCTACTATTAATACAATATGATGACCCCTTGATATAGGGTTATTAAACTAATTAATCTAAAGCCTAGAATGATAAAACTCTTAAATTAATAAAGCTATGCTTATTCCGAAAACTTTTAACTAACCGCAACGTATTCCTATCTCAAAGGGTGCAAATTAATTGCAACATAAAATCATTTTATCTTTTCAAGATTACACATTAATGGAGCCCTAATCATAGATCCCTTTTGCAAATTATAGCACTGTGCAAATCTAACCTTAATGCCCAAGCAATTATTAATCATAGTCTCCTTTTTATCACTCATTGAATCAAGATCCCATCTTTGACCTTGAACACTAATAGTGAACACCAAAGCATGATGTCTTTCTAAATCTCTAGCAATTAAATCAGCAGTTAAATTTTTTATTGGTACCCTTAATACTTGGAATTTCCTTAGTATCCATCTTCTGGTTCTCCACATAGAACGACTCAAGCTCAATTGTCGACAATATTTCTTGTCGATAATTGACCAAAACTACGACTGACTCGAATGCTTTGGCTCCACTCAAGGCCTTCACACAGAGGGTTAGCTTGAAATCCACGTCCATTGATGCATCCAAAAAATTGTGGTGGTTAATCATTATTGAATCGATGTCAAAATAATCAACTTGGAATTTGAAAGGAGGGGTTTTCACGTAGATTATCCAGCTAGTAATTAATAAGGTATACAAAAGAAAGCAGAAAATTATACAATAATTAACATTTTTACGGTTTTAGACATAAGTTTGGGCATTCCTTGGAGGATTTGTTTGACCTCTAATATAAGACATCGTAATACGCTAATGATGAGCTCAATAGAGAGATAGATGAAAAATAACAACTATTATTCCTATATTAAAGGCTAGCAAGGTTTAGGGTTTTGTTCAATCTCAACGAATTGTTTAGGAATCATGGATTGGTATAATAATTATCATCTCTATTTATATAAGGAAGAAGAAAGGACTAAGGAGTTCTTGATATATAATGAGATTATCCTTTTTTTTTTTTTTTTTTTTTTTTTTTTTGACGAGAAGATTATCATATCCTTTTCAAATTAAATACATGAGAACTCCTTAGTCCTTTGATGATATACATTGATACATACATGGAGAGTAGTTAAGAAATTGTTGAAATAGATTATAAAATTTGTTGCTATATTAATAAGATGGATGATTTATAATTTATATGCATTACTAAATTATTTTTCCTTTAGTAAATGGTTCATCGTCAAATTAAAGAGCTAGCTAACAATAAAGAAATAGCTAATAGCCTAATATCAGTATTGTATTATTGACTAGTGAGTTTATCTTTTCATGGATGCCAATTAATGCTCCATTGATCCGTAGTTAAACAAGATGTTTTTATCCTTGTTGTAAAAATAAAAAAAATTAAAGTTTTATCCTTAAGTAAGTTGACCCTAGTCTCGGATTAAGCCAATTTTTGGTGTAATTTGGATAGTGTTATTATTTAAATGAACACAAATTCTCAGAAAAGGCGGGTGTACGTAAATTTATTGTAAGACGGTAAGTTTGAAGGTAACTTTAACTAATTTTATGGTAACTTAAAGGGTAACTTATAATTAGTCGTTGGTTCAAATTTTATTTCAATGTGTAAATTTTATTTCAATGTGTTATTTCTTATATATTCATGATTACATACTATATAGGCTAGTATGATTAATCTAATACATTATAAGTTTCTTGTAAGATAAAATTTATTATTTGAAAAATAATAACTTTTGTAATTTATTTTGCCTTTTTTATTTTTATTTTTTTTTGTACAATGTAGATATTAGGTTGGGTCAACAATTAAACAACATATTTTATCATTAAATAAAAGTAGTAAATTTAATTAGGTCGACTAATAAATTAGTTGTGCATGCATGTTTTAGATTGGGTCAATTTTACTTTACTGTAAATCGATTATATGCTTTTGTAAATCGATTATATACTTTTGTAATTCGGTTTTCTTAAATGTCATTATTTGAGTGAACATAAGAAGTGATACTAATTCTTAAATCAAGAATTACAATTAATCCCCCTAATCGGACTAAATTTTGCTACAATTGAAATTGTTTCAAATGAATTGGCCATTTATTAACCAATTTAAAGTGATTTATTTTTTTTAACAAGAGCAATAATTTTAAATATGAATCACATATAAAAGTATATTAGTTGGGCGCCTTGTTCTAAGTCCTAATCTGAAAAATTAATGTTGGACAGCAGAAAGTAAATCCATAAGAAAAAGAAGTATAGGTCCAGGCCCAAACAAAGAAAAAAAGAACTCAAAGAAGCATCAAAAATTTGAAATGAAGTTTGTTATGATAAAAATCCAAGTCAGCAAAGAGTTTGTTAGAAGATTGGGTGTGGTATGATCCTGTGTAATAAGGTGTAGAGTACTATGGTAACCCCCAAATGAGTCTATAAATAACACATACAATTACAGACACAGTTGTTGAATTCCTGATTAAAAATGCTTAACCCAAAAATAGCGAAGGTGTTCGCAATAATCTTACAGGTGATTGTAGCAATCCACATGGTTTTAGTATCCATAATTTTACCCTCTTCCCCTGAATTCGAAGTCCAGTCAATGAATGCAATAACCACATTCAGCCTTGTTCATAATCCACTCACCAACACCACACTCAGCTTTGCCTTTGGGGCTACATTGTGGATTGGCAACCCCAATGAAGGCACCCTCTACAAACAACCCGTCGTCTCGCTGTTTTATCAGCATCACCTCCTCCTCACCTCACTATCTTCTGTTCACTCCTTTTACAATCCTGATTCTACCTCCAGCATCTGGCTGCCGCTCACTGTCGCAGCCGCCTCGGTTCCGGTTTCAGACCACTCCATTGCCTCTGCCTTGGCTACAGACATCAACAACGGCCAACTCAACCACCTCAGTCTCAAGCTTACGGCCGACTACAGGTGGTTTCGCTACTACCCTACTCATCTGGTGGTCACTTGCAAACCTTTCTCCGTTGCTCTTCCGTCTGGCATTATGCTCGGTGCTCCCGCTCCTTGCAATGTTTACTGGGAAATCACTGCCATGAAATCCTATGTCATGCTATGTAATTGTTTACTCTCTACTCTTGCTTTGTATTTAAACATTGCATATCGTTGATTTCATGGAAACACTAGAGGATCGGAGTAGTGCTCATTACCATCCCTGATACCTTAATCGTCCATCAACTTTTTTGTTAATCCCACATTTCTTATGTTTTTCTTTTTCACTCCATTTGTGTTTGTTATTAGCCTAATCAATTTCCATGAATTTTAAGCAATTATGCTTTTTAGTACTCTCTCTATACGTATGCTCTGTATGCATCTCTCAGATGCTTGATTGTTCTTGAATTTATAATATAACAAGGTACTTCGTATGTAATAAATCATTTGGTGTGACGTGTATTCTACCTCTCTTGATTTACAACATAAAACAATTTAACACACATTTCTGAGGAAAATTTAGTATGAAAGAAAATAATGGTTAAATTAACAAAATGGTCTCATGAGGCGGGTACCAGATCTCTCCTGTTAGTGTTCAGGAATGTAATATAAAGACTCAAGTCATATTCTGTTCCTGCGCAA